TTTGTTTTGTTTTTATGTCAGGTCGCTCGCAATGATAGCAGACCTATAACGAGTATCTGGATCACTAATGGATATTTCTTGCTCATTTCGAAACACGCTTATACCAACGAAAAAAGAAGATTTTAGGTTATATTGCACTTATACTTAGGATACACAGATCGTGTATACTTATAATTAACTTCTGATCAAAGCAAGTTACCAATCTACATACATAAGAACTAGAAATTAACTTAGTAAATAAGCTAATTTATTATATTGCTATTAGTCTTACTGATTTCAATGCATTGATTTATCAGTTGGGTATCTTTACTTTTAGTGATACTTTAGAATGTAGTTCCAATAATATATCCAAAGGTGCGACCAACTTAGAAAATTAAGGTTAGTCCTTAATCCATATACTAAGCTAACAATGCAAAATACTCCTTTTAATAATAAATAATATAAAAAGTATATAACAAAAAACAATTTCTGTATAGTTCCGGAGAGTACTGTCTGTAAACAACGCACATAATTTCTGTATAGTTCCGGGGAGTATTGTCTGTAAACAACGCACATAATTTCTGTTTAGTTCCGGGGAGTATTGTCTGTAAACAACGCATATAATTTCTGTTTAGTTCCGGGGAGTATTGTCTGTAAACAACGCACATAATTTCTGTTTAGTTCCGGGGAGTATTGTCTGTAAACAACGCACATAATTTCTGTATAGTTCCGGGGAGTATTGTCTGTAAACAACGCACATAATTTCTGTTTAGTTCCGGGGAGTATTGTCTGTAAACTACGCACATATTAATTTGTTTTACTTTTCCAAAATCAAAGGATTATATTTTCTAAGCATCTATCATCCATTAAGATTATATTCTCCAGGTTTCGTTTTCTTATTTAATTTTCCTTCTTTTTTTCCCCAGAATTTATCAGTACTTTCTCTCGTTCTTGCCTTTTTATGAATTCACAACATGTGATGTGAACAACCACTAATGAAGTTCTTTTTTGAAAATAGCTTGAGGCGATGCTTAAATACCTGTGAATAGAGCAGATTATAAACTACTTGCGTCAATGTAAGCAGTAATATATGAGTTCGTGGGAAGTGTGAAGACCTGCATAGAAGAACAGCGGAGTGTAGTAGGAACGAGCCACATATATCTTGTTTAGATGTTATTTTCATACCTGAAAATGTTATTATCTATACTATTATTCTGATTGTTTGCATGTACGACCGTTACGCTTTCTGACCGAGAACCTGCTGCATAAGCATGCGTAGTTAG